TCATTGGCGACAGAAACCACGCTCCAGACTATTGACGGTAATATGCTGGTCATCACGGTATATTATTTATTATCAAGCACAATACAGAATGTACATTATGATGGCTGTATATTTGCACGCATAAAAGCATTTCGCATCATTTCACACGTATGCTGCAAAGCGTGATGTGGAAAACTGCGCGTTATTTTTAATCCACAGCCATAGATTTTCAGGACTGACGAAGATGCTGGGTTATTGCTGATGCTGCTGCGCGAGACTTCGGGTGAAATCGTAGCGCTTTTGTGATCGATTCCTCTGATGGTTCACTTGAGGTGTTTCTTCTTTTGATCGACGCATAAGCCAAAGATGTGGAAATTCTGAAAGCTAAAGGACATGTGAATTCCAAAATCGTCAGCAGACCAGAAGGAAATATAAAATTTCGGAATAATAAAGCGTAAACAATTTGAAAACGGCTTGAGGTAATCGAGGATGATATATAGCTATTCTGATGATATGATGTCGAATTTTGACTGCTGCTGTCTCACCCTTCAATAATAAGTAAAAAATATTAATAATGCAGAACATTTTGATCCTCTTGGAGTTTCAGGAAAACAAAATATTTAGGAAATAACTTTGAACAATATATGAAGGACTGCCATTGGAAGACGAAGTTCGACTCCTCGAGAAGATTGACTGCTGCCAAGGCCACAGTAATTTTACACACAAATCATAGGGTTCCTGGACATCCTTGACCTTCCTGAAAGAAATAAAGGATATTTTGAATATATATCATTGCAACAATTTATTTCTGGTTTACCTCATGCAAAAATGACATCATCTATAATTCTATAGAGCAAAAGAACTACAATTCGCAATATGTTTGAATAAATGCTGTGCTGGAATGGATGGCATTATTATACGTGTAATTAAAGATGCTGGGCTTCTTCAAGGTGGATCTCATCAATTTGACAATGCCATAATCCCCTGGATCATCATTCCACAATATGCCATCAATTACATGCTGTTCCTGCAGTTATTATTGATTCATAAATCTTGCCTGACTCAGTGCAGATATACGGTATTTTTTGTGTTGTGCAAAGGTCAAGCCTGTTCATTCAGCTAAAGATATATGTCTAGGTATATGGACTGTATAAAAACCTTCCAGTAGCTTTCAGGTATATGGACTGTATATAAAATAAACCTTCCAGCAGTAGCTTACAGGTAGGTGAAAAATTTGCCTGTTGTACATATTGTACTTTTCATTGAAAAGGATTGAATATTTTTATTTCTGTGGACAGGAGAAAATCACATTGCACTGTGAAAACAGCTCATCATTTATTCATTTCCCACGTGGATTGAAATCAACCGTAGGATTTTACACCGCAAATGCTACGAATTGAAGTCACTCAATAGCAGGGGTGGGGGGAACCGGCTGGCTCTAAAAGGGATTGGCTCTGAGAGAGCTTCGCGCCGAAGGGGACAGTGGTGCCTATAGAACAGCCCTGAAAATTGAGGGGTACACACCGGAACAGCTTGTGTTGTAGTCAATGCAGGTGTTGTGATGGGTTGTTTTATAGCCAAAGTTAATGTATGTCGAAATTCATGAAGAGTTTCGGAGATTACTTCTCTGAAAGCAGTCTGAGGCCCAAATATGTCATCGGGGATATGGCGCTGATTCAACTCTTGTCTTTGGAAGCTTGGAGCTGAGTTTCAGAGGTAAGATTGTGCTGTGAGTTTGAGCTGTTTTTAGGGGCAATAGTTGGATTCTATACTGCAGTTCTTTGAAGAGGGAATTGAAATTTTTATTCGGTGTATTTAACAGTTACATGGCCACGATTAATTCATGGCTGACGCTCAGAGTGATGAAACCGCATGTACCTATTGCCTAATTTTCTCAGGTAAATGAGTACCGCAAATTTCGGAAGGCAAAAATCTTGGTTGCCGTCCTCGAGCAAGCCTGGGTCAGCCAGTTCCTTGATCTCTCTGGCTATGCCAGATGACTGGTTGGAAGGCCTGCCTATGCCAAAATCATCTGGCAGAGCTGGGTCATTGAAGAATTTAGCCAAGTTCCCCAGTGTTGACAGGTCCAGGGGCCTCCCGAGCGTCCCAGATTTCAGGTAC